CATTAAATGTGTGTCTGTGTAGCATGTTAAAAAGCTAAGTCCTTGTCTGTGTGCGTGTGTGTGTGGGCTGATGAGTCACTGTGTGGGTGTGTCTGTGGGGTGGTGGAGGTTTTTGGGTTGAGTTTTCAATTATAGATGCTAAGGTTTCGGTAAGGTGATAATGTTTTTATGAGAAGTTTCCTTGTTAAGGCCAGGGGAGTGGTTTTGCCTTACTATTTCATTTAGTGGTGGCTGTCTACCACCACAGATACACACCAAATGCTCATGTGCTTACATGCAAACACACATCCAAGCACTCCTCCCAAACTGCTGATGCTCTCAAAGCAGCTGGCTCTTGGGTACAAACAGTGACAGTAGCTTTGCTAGAGGAACTTGACATGCTGCTACTGGTGTTTGTGTGTCTTTGGAAGTCTGTGGTGTGTGAGTCTGTGTTTAGCTCACTGATGTCAACTTTCATCTAGCAGAAAGATTTTCTTTCTCTTCCTTGAAGCACAATCTCAACAAACTTATATCCTACTGTATAGGTATTTGGTACTTGAAAATTTCAATTTGCAATTTTCAGCTAATTGTTCTATAACATTTCATCTGAAGAGATAAGTTAATATCATGTATAATTAAATTTAGCTACTCAAAGCCAATACAATTCTGTTTTCATTTAATAAGTAAACCAAACTACATACAAGATGTTATTAAGGAAATTGCTCACTGAACCTTGCACAGAAAGTTAACCTTTCCATTATTAATGAGAGCAAAGCAAAACTCTTCTGTATACAACATTCAAACCACCGAAAGTATTCAATTTCAATTTCAGATAGATAGATAGATAGATAGATACTTTGTTGAGATGAGGAATGAACACATGACAGAGATGAGGGAAAAAAGGCTTACAGCGTCAGCAGGACCATGGGATGACATTACTTTCTCATTACTAAGCAAGTTTCTTCATACCGTCAGCTACAAGCAATGCCAGATTGCAGCTCATGAAAAATTAACTCACTTGACTTTCCTATGTATTAATCTGCCAATCAGTTTCAATTACTCAGTAACTGAAGGTGCCAGAACACTGTTCCGGATCGTTCTGGACCACTTTAACCTCTACTGATATTAAAGATGGCCAGAGTTATTAAAGCATGAAAGCTGTGTATGGAAAATGACACTGAGAGGACACAAAAGAAAGAGATGGCGAGATTGAGCATGTATTCCCATTCACTTGGGAATACACAGTTGTATCAATGGATGGAGAAAAGAAGTGACATTCATAGCCTGAGGGGTATTCGCTCTCTCTCACTCTCTCTCTCTCTCTCTGTCTCACTGACACTATGCCGTTTTTTTTGTGCCACTATTCTGAGTGCATGTAAAAAAAATTTGAACGCACGTAAAAAAAAAAATTACAGGTGCAAATGTTGCATTTTGAGAAGAAATTTATTTTGAGGGACGAAAAAATAATTTGAGTGAACAAAATTCATTGCAAAAACTAGGTCATATTTGTTGTGTTCCCACTAGTGCAGTCAGCATTAATCTCGTTAAAATGACATTAATGCCATAATGCGGCAAATCTCCGTTAACGAGTTACCGCGGATCGCCCGTGCGTGGGGCTGGACGGCGTCAACTCGTTAACGAGCTAACTGCGCTAACGCACTAGTTCCCACCAATGTAATTGAGATTTCGTGGCACATCCGACATACTGTTTTACTTTTGTCCATGACGTGCTTACCATCAGGGTTATGCTTCACATGAAAACCAAGATAGTTCCAAACGCCAGATCTGAATGAGGGTGGGGGAGGTTCAATTTGCAATGTTGCAACGAACTTAGCTTCTGTCTTGCTAGCTTGCGCTGCGCTCAGTGGATCTGCACTCGACAGTGCAGCCTAGGCAGAGTAGTCGAACGCAGATTCACTGAGCGCTCAAGACAGACAGCATCGTCAGAAGAAAAGTTGATAAAATAAATTTAAAATTTTGTATTGTTCATACATATGTGTACCGAACCAAAAGCACTGTATCGAACGGTTCAATATCAATACGAGTATTGTTGCACCCCTAATATATACATATATATACACACACACACACATATATATACATATACATAAAAATATATACATATACACACACACACACACACACACACACACACACACACACACACACACACACACAGACATATATATATATATACATACATGCATATATATATATATATATACATACATACATACATATACATGTATATATGTATCGCAAAATATATCGTTACCACACATGCTTCAAATTCAAGTGTGTGAATGCATGTGTGAATGGGTGGATGACTGGATATGTAAAGTGCTTTGGGGTCCTTAGGGACTAGTAAAGCACTATATAAATACAGGCCATTTACCATTTACCATATACCGTAATATGGATTTTAGGCCATATCACCCAGCCCTACTACCAATACAGTAAAAAAACAAAAAACCAAACACTATCTATGATAGATATGAGCAATCTTCTCTAAGACAGTTCAAGCTGTGCTGAAGAATAAATATGGTCACACCAAATATTTACTTTTAGTAGTATATGAAGTAGTACATTGTATCCAGAAAGAATAGTCACTTAATTTTAAAGGTATTAACTGTAAGTTGAAGACAGGCTAACACAGCTTAATACAAGGAACAGGAGTATAGGTAACTGTAACACAATGCTACAATATATTGTCATCTAAATGTAAAAAAAAGAGAGTGGGATGACAGAATGGAGAGGGATAAGGGAACAGAAAAAGGCAGGGGAAAAGGGAAAAACAGAAGAAAAAACTGGAACAATGTCAGAATATAGGTACAAATAGAACAATGTCTCATGTGTCCAGCCTCACTTTCTGTGTCTCACTCTCTTCTCTGTTATGCAAACACACAAACATGCACACACACAAACACAGGACTATGACTGGGACTTCAAAGAAGTGAGAATCATCAAATCTGAGCTCAACTGATGGCAGTCAATGCATGGCGCGTCAAGCTCAGGCATAGCAGCATGGGGTAAGGCGTTCTGAGTGTGTGAAGTGCGTGTGTGTTTGTGAGCACTGTATGTGTGGCAAAAAGTGCGTCTGTGTGTTGCTGCCACAGCAAAAAAAAAGCAGTCGAGCTGTTGAATTTACAAGATAAGCATTCTGGATGGCTTCTCATGGCTGAACTTTTTACTCTCTCACACACACACACACACACACACACACACACACACACACACACACACACACACACACAAAGAGAGTAACAGAGAGAAAGAAGCTCCACACTGTAAAAAAAAACATGCTGTTTTTACAGGAAAACCCTGGCAGCTGGGGTTACCAGGGACTTCCTGTAAAAACGCTTTACAGATGCAACTTGTAAATTGATTTACAGTGAATGAATCTCAGATTAAAACTGTTAAATCTACAGGAAAAAGAAGTTAATTTCACACATAGATGTGATATATAAATACACTATTTCCTGTATCTTTTACAAGTAATAAATGCTTTTTGTGGATCCATAAACTGCAAAATTAACAGGGAAATATCGTACAAAGAACTAATTTAAAATGGTAGAACTACGGTGAAACTGTGCATATTAAATGGAGCTGCTCTGTAAATTATACATAAAATCTATGCTGAATATTATATGTTTTAATGTAAAATTTTAACCATAACCCAGCAAATTTCTTACTGCTACGCCTACACCCAAACATGCAAAAATACACATGAGAAAACACAAGAGAGGAAAATATCACTTTTGGGAAATTTATTTTGCAGCCACATTAGCAAAATGACAGCAAATGGATCCATTTTTCCAACTAACACAATATGCAAGGCACACAGCAACTACACAATTCAATCAAAATATAGGCTATAAAAGCTGTGGAACATTCCTGCAAAGCAAGAACCATGTTCATGAAACAAGCATTTGTTAGACCCTCCACCAGAAAAAGTTAAATAACCTGTTAAGACTTTAAAACAAAAAAACACATATTGTGCCAAAAATGATCATAATCACCGTGCAACGCAACACGCACCCTGCTGTCACCACAACCATGGCCCTGGTCAGAAAACATCAGCAAAACCACGTGGTGAAACAAACCTACACATGTGGTCTAGAAACACTGCAGTAGCAGCATGTTGTTTTTTTTCTTTTCTTATGTAAATAAAGAACATTCCTACAAAGAAAGAACATCTTCATGAATTGGCTTCATGCATTCGACCAGTAAAAGGTTCCAGTACACATTGTGGAACAAAATTAACAAAGTAAAACTAACAGTCCACAGAGAGTCAAGATTTAGGCTTAGCGCCACTCGTGGTCGGCGAGATCCTAAATCAGGGTGAGGACTCGAGGGTTCACACTGAGACGACGCTTTGAGTTTTTGTTCTCTACTTTGGTTCCTTTTTCTGGGTTTATGGAGAAGAAACACCTGTAGAATAACAATCATATAAAAGTTTATTAAGCATTTTTATAATTGATCAGTTAAAATACACATACAAAGTAAGTAAAAATTAAGTATATACATATATATACAGTCATGGCCATGACCACGTTCAAGACAAAGTATAACCAAAATGCTGTGGGGAAGTGAACAATGCATGGTCAAAAGTATTGGCACCCTTCACGAGTGTCTTCTGCAGTGATATGTCACACTTTAGCATTGTTAAAATCCAAAGCAAAGGTTATAGGTAGTCAGACGTCAGTTGACGCTTGGTCTAGCCCTGAGTCTCGGCCAGGCTTGGACCCAGATTCAGACTGTTAATGTATTTAAAAAAACCAAACAAACAAAAAAAACAACAACAAAAAACAGAAAAAACAACTGAAACCGGCTCCAAAGCCGACCGAGACTCAGAGCCAGACCTGGACTCGAACCACATCAAAGCCAGACTCCAGATCCCAGAGTCTCAGTTATGAGAAATAACAAAGCCATATTTGTTCACCTCTGAAGAAACTCTAAAGTGGAAGCCAGCTCAGATGGATAATGGATGTTGAAATTGTAGTAGCTCCCAAACATGAGGCACAGTGCAGAAATGAAGGAGGATATGTTTGTGCTGACGAGGTGCCGATCAACACTCAGCATGTATCTTCTTGAGGAATAGCAGGACTGTCCTGTGAAGAAATTATTTAACAGGTTATATCAATAAACACGGCAGTCACATGACATTCTATAAAAAATGCACTTAAAAAAAAAAGAGAGAGAGAGCTATGAAACAGACTTACCACACATGATAATAGTGGGTGTCAGAGGCACTTGCTCCAGTTGTACCTCATCTGCCAGACATGTATCTTCAACACAGAGAAGCATGGACTCCTCCTTCTCTTCAAAGTAGCTGAGTAGCTGTTTAAGGTAAAAGAGACACATGTTTCTGAGATAAGAATGACTATCCTTCTCTGGCATATCACTGGCTGAACTAGCAGATGCCATGGTTTCATGTGTGTTTTCTGAATATTCTGTACTGTCATTTGGGGGCTGAGGACGAGATTCCTTGTACATGTCATCAATACCATCTGGGGAACAAGCTTTATGCTTCCTACACATGTGAGAAGTAAATGATGACTTTTTTGTAAACATATGCTTACAACCACTTACTGGACATGACACAGACCTGCCCCCTGCAATATGATCATTTAAGTGAGACACTAGACACACTTAAGCTGTTTGAAAATGGCGGGCACATAATGAAACTGCACATTTTAAATCTGCAACAAGAGCTTTAGGAGTAGCTTGAAGTGCAGGTGCATTGTGCACACGATAAAAATGCCCCTTGAAAGCAGAGTACGTGGTGAATGTTTGGCTGCAATTGGCGCCAACACATTTAAAAATACAACAAGGCTCATTCTTATGCACTCTGCAATGTAGTACATAGCCTCTTAATGTGACCAATACCTTTTTACAAAAGACGCAGATGATCATTTTTAGTATTTCTAAAGTTTGCCTGTGCTTTTCAGCTGAACTAGCATGCTAGCGCTAGGTTATGAGCCTTGGTCTAAATATCAACTGGTGCTTTTATCTCGAAAAAACGTCGCCAAGATATTGAACTTACCGTGCAGACTTTCTGACGAACAAACACAGATCCTCAAAAAACACTTGAAATCGTATGTTTGTAATTTGTCCTAACAACGTAGTTGCTGAAAGTTCGATGTTTTCTTCTCCCGTCTTCTCTCTCGTGCTGGCTCGTTAGCTATAGTCGTGAACTAGGCGCTCTTCTCCTCCCGCCCTCACGTCATTATCCAATCAGAGACGAGCTTCAGATGCACATTCAAAATTAGGCGCGCTCAGTGCAACTGTGAGTGGCCTGAAGTAGCTTACAGCTCTGTGGAGATGAGGCACCATAGAGATCCTATGGGAGGCACTGTAAGTTTGTTTAGCCTTTAATAATGAGACATTGCTGACCTAACCCAAAAAGTATTCTAGTCTAAGTATCACATTGCAATTAAAAGAAACATAAAGAATACAAGCATTATGACAGAAGCATTACTTAGTCGTTAAATAATAATTTCTTATTGGTTACCCTACAATAGGCTGCAAATGATTTAAGAAAAAAACATGATGTAAACAATTTTAATTGTATATTTTTATATAGCCTATAAATGGAGAGGCAACCTCTCAGGTTCACAATGACATCTTCTGTGAAAACATTTTTATTAGTCCAATCCATGACTTTGCATCATTTCATGAATCATGTTAAAAGTAGGCCCAGTACATCCATGCAGTTGTAAAGTGACTTACATATACGTCATGTGTTTTTAAGAAAAACTGACTAAAACTGTGATTTTTACAGTATTTGCATGTCAAATTAACATGATTGTTTGGTTATGAGTATTACGGTGTTTCACTGTTTTTATTCACAGTATTTGTAGTTTTAACCAATAAATTTGAATATAATCACACATTCATGTTGTAAATATAACAGGAACATTCTGTTTAAAGGTTTACAATAATTCACTGTGATCAAAACAGGAAAGTTGTGTTTTGGGGTTTACTATACATTTCTGTAGGGGTTTTACATGGTTTTTATGTCAGTTTCACTGCCCTTTTTTACAGTGCAGGGATGATGAAAGATCTGGCCATGACACACATATGATATGAAACCTAGTGTCTCTGCACAACAGAGGTTTTACTATGTGTAGCCACTCAAATCCAGATAAGATCTTATCGGATTTATGTGTGTATGCATACTTGTATTACTTATATTGTGAGAACATAAATTTAAACACAATCACACAGCACTCCCTTTTGACAATAAAAACAAGTCCCCTAATGCGAAATATTGAATTTTAGGTTGAGACTTGGTTTAAAGCTAGGATTAAGGTTCGGTAAGCAGCGGTAATGGATAGCATTAGAGAAAGATTCCAGAGAAGTAGTGTAATTACATGCTAGGACCTTTTAACTGATGTAAACATAACTGCATGTATTTGTGTTTGCGGCTGTCATTTTTTGTAACTATGGCCCAGAAAGACAATCATGAGTGAATGCACACAAATTTTTCAGTGAAATCAAATCATTGTCGCAGACACGGGTGTCACAAAAGCCACGAAAGGGACTATTTGTTACATTTAAAATCAATTACATATATCCGAAAGATAAATTATTTCATTTTAACACCACATAATTGCTGTGACCACTGCTGAATAAAAACTTCAGTATATTGTAGCTTTCAAAATGTGACTTCTGATTCAGCATCTACAAAAGTGATATCACCCAGTGGCCATAATATCTGCACATTTAGGCAGGGATTGGCCAACAACCTGCAATCAGCTAAACGGGCTAATGGGCTCACTGATGAGCAATTAAACCTTTATTACTTTATTACAACTATTTGTTTAAAAAAGAAATAAAGAATAAAATAATAAACTGCAATAAAATACATAATACTATTCATAATTCTTAAAATATCAGTTTTTATTCCACAGCTAATAATGTAACTATTATTATAATTACTCATCATTTTTATTGTACATTAACAGGCAATGCTACTCTTCCATTGGTAGGTTTACCAGTAAATGTCACCTTAAAAGGTAGAGTATGCCTACCTGCAGGGAATAAAGCAGAAAACTTTCCCCACAGTTTAGTCTGACAATAAAGCAACTGAACCAAGTATGTCTCCGCCTCTTAAACTCAAGAGGGGACCAAACACTCTTATCCATGCACTCACACACATGCATCTTCTAACTCCCTCCCCACATGATATGCATTGAGCATTTTGGCAGTTGTTTAATTAGAACTGCAATCAGACTTCATAATGAGTGACTTACCCAACTAACTGTGATACACGTTATTATTTGACACAATTAGTAACACTAAAGCGTGAGAGAAATCAAAACTAACTTTAAGCTTTGCTGAGAGTCCGTATCTACCTTTAAAGTTTCAGACAAGTAAAAGCATAAAAATATGGTTAGATACATTTGTAATAGACTTCGAATTTAGGATAATGTACTAAATTATTATGAAAATTCAATTTATAGGGCATTAGCATTTGCTGTAAATTCCAAAAGGCTAATGGCACTGTTTTGGAAAAGTAGCTCAACAGACCAAATGTTACACACTGGATAAGAAAAAAATCATATCAGACAAATGGATAGACAGAATGACACATTTGTTTGTCTTTCAAAATATACTTGCATTGATTTGAATTTGGAAAAACCCTTTCACAGCTTTTTAAAACTTTGTAAAAAAAAAATATATATATATATATATATATACATATATATATATATATATATACATATATATATATATATATATATATATATATATATATATTAGGGGTGCAACGATATTCGTATCGATATTGAACCGTTCGGTACAGTGCTTTCGGTTCGGTACGCATGTGTATCGAACAATACAACATTTGTAATTTATTTTATCAATTTTCCTTCCGACGATGCTGTCTGTGTTGAGCGCTCAGTGAATCTGTGTTCGACTACTCCGCCTAGGCTGCACTGTCGAGCGCAGATCCACTGAGCGCTCAACACAGACAGCATAGTCAGAAGGAAGAGCGCAGGGCAAGCTAGCAAGACAGAAGTTAAGCTCTCCTTGCAACAGGCAAATTGAACCTCATTCAGATCTGGCGTTTGGAATTATTTTGGTTTTCATGTGACGTATGACCCTGAAGGTAAGCGAGTCATGGACTAAAGTAAAACAGTATGTTGGATGTGCCATGCAATGCTCAATTACATTGGTGTGAACTAGTGTGTTAGCGCAGTTAGCTCGTTAACGTGTTGGCCGTCTAGCCCCATGCACGGAGCGATCGGCGGTAGCTCGTTAACGGAGATTTGCCGTGTTGTGGCGTTAAGGTCATTTCAACAAGATTAACCTGAAAGCACTAGTGGGAACACAACGAATATGACTGCACATTTACGCCGACATCATCCTAGTGCAAAGACAAGTGGAAGCAGACAAAAAAAAGCAAGCATGCTACTAACTTTAGCCGAGTCATTTAGACAGCTGTTAGCACATGATTCTTCTTATACTGCTGAGAATATAGCCCAGAAGAAGCGGATAGTATAGCTTTTATTTTGGAAAGAGCCATTTCTCTGTAATAAACTCTCTTTTCCAAAGATGAGTGATTCCTCAATCAGATACAGGGCTTGCAATATCGCTAGCCCGACGTCCCGGAGCTAGCGATTTTTTCAGTCGAGCTACCAAAATCTATCTCTTCCCTGCCCGTCGGGCTATTGTAGGAAAAATATATGTCAATGCTTTTGCATTCTTTCAGAAATGTAGCTGGGTAATTATGTCATTGGCATCGGTGAGCCACTGTCAATATGTGACATATTGAAGTCGCGTTTGAATTTGCGCTTGTTTTTTTGCTTTCACTTTGCAATCGTGCGAACTGTGTATAGAGAGCGACAGCACTGATCTGTGAGTGATGATAATTTGTGCACCAATTCCTCTGACATCGTCTTATTAATCGTTAGCTTACTATGCAAACATGACAAGTGAAATCTCCCGCAGCAAGCTTAAACATGTGAGAGGTTGATCGCGCAGAGAATCGCTGAGCTTATGTGAGTGCGCGTGTAAAAGCATTTCAGTTCTGCTGAGCCAAATAAGACAGGTCAGGGTGAAGAAGTGACAGCCAAAGAAAAGCTTACCACAAAACGGAGAAGTTATGACAAATCAGACTATGAGGCAAAAAGAAAGTGCAGCTTTATGGTTTCATGGACAAAAGAATTTCTGTGGCTGCATTATGATGAGCTAAATAACCAGGGCTCCACATAAGTGGTCCGCAGGTGCGCATTCGCTGTCAAAATAAAAAACACGCACAAGGGTTAGGGTTAAATTTAAAAACTGTACTTTTGAGTTAAAATATATATTTATAATTTTAATAAATGACAAATTAAAAATGCATGAACATTTTTTTGTATCGAAAAAATATCGAACCGTGACACCAAAGTATCGAACCGAACCGAACCGTGAATTTTGTGTATCGTTGCACCCCTAATATATATATATACACTCAACAAAAATATAAACGCAACACCTTTGTTACTGCTCCCATTCCCCATGGGATGGACGTAGAGACCTAAAATTCATTCCAGATACACAATATAACCATCCCTCCCGAACAGAGGTCACAAATCAGTCCAAATGTGTGGTAGTGGGCACATCTGCTATATTGAGATAATCCATCCCACCTCACAGGTGTGCCACATCAGGATGCTGATCTGACATCATGAGTAGTGCACAGGTGTACCTCAGACTGCCCACAACAAAAGGCCACCCTGGAATGTGCAGTTTTTTGCGCTATTGGGGGTCTGGGGACCCAGAACCGGTCAGTATCTGGTGTGACCACCATTTGCCTCATGCAGTGCAACACATCGTCGCATGGAGTCTATCAGATTGTCAATTGTGGCCTGTGGAATGTTGGTCCACTCCACTTCAATGGCTGTGCGAGGTTGTTGGATATTCGTGGGAACTGGTACACGCTGTCGTATACGCCGGTCAAGCACATCCCGAACATGCTCAATGGGTGACATGTCCGGTGAGTATGCTGGCCATGCAAGAACTGGGACATTCTCAGCTGCCATCTGCCCTGAACAATGTGAACCATGATTCATCCGTGAAGCGCACACCTCTCCAACGTGCCAGACGCCATCGAATGTGAGCATTTGCCCACACAAGTCTGTTACGGCGACGAGCTGGAGTCAGGTCAAGACCCCGATGAGGACGACGGGCATGCAGTTGAGCGTCCCTGAGACGGTTTCTGACAGTTTGTGCAGAAATTGTTTGGTTGTGCAAACCAATTGTTCCAGCAGCTGTCTGGGTGGCTGGTCTCAGACG